CTTATCGCAATAAATTTTGAGACAATTAATCGCCCAGCAAAATTTGTTATCGTGACAGGCCTAATTTTCAGTCTGTTTCAGTTTGCCTCTCAATAACTTAGATGCCAGAGAGTAATAGATATAGATACATGGTGATTCCATGATGACTGTAATAATACATGGGCAGTAGCTTTAAAATTTATTTTGAGCTTGAATCTTTTTACACTTCTTAGAGTTCACACAACAAATTTTAAACATATTTAGCTTGACTTATTACAAAGTTTAGCTGTCCAAAAAAGAAAATACTGGCAGTCGCTGCAATGACATCCTTAAACATTTCTTCAGAAGTTTTTCTGTTTTTAAAATTTGCTCCTTACTAAATGTGACYGGACCTCACAAGTTCAATTAAATTTATTACCCTTTGAATGTCTTGAATGAGGTTCCATGTTGACCTCAAGTTTTACAGCAGGTTTTCAGAAGTTTTCGAGCTCTTTCATGCGGTCCAGTGATTTGTTTTGGTGGCCTCCAACTTACTTGTACGGTTGATGTCTTGGAGACTSTGCTCAGCTGAATCAATGAGTCCCTCCTCCATGTCTATTTCTCCGTACCGATCATGGTCATGGTGTGTGGGCTGATTGTAGCGTCTGTCTGTGTCTTGAGTTTCTCGATTAGAGCGCCTTCGTCTGTGTTTGCGTCTGTACCCTCGAGAAACTGGGACGCCAATATAAATGGACTGGTGGTCTGCAGAGAAATTGATTGTCATTTAAACATGAGCCACAAAGATCACTCACTCAGGCTAAATAAACAATTTAATRTCTGTATTACATATTTAACTAGCAATCAGTTGCACAAACAGATTGTCAAATAGAATTAGAGCTATCACTAATCTCTCACACGCACTAGACAAGTTTTATGTTACACGATTTTAACAAACKCTTAATAAATTGTGTGTTGGACATGTCAGTTCAGCAACAATTGTCTGTTGGTACAGCTACAAAAAATAAACAATCTAAAACTTGGCTCATTTAATTTCCCCTCAGCATAAAAATTCAATCATGGTGGTTTAATCATCTGTTGACAAATAGGACAATGAAATAAAACTAATTGCACACACAACTCCAGGTGGAATAGCTTTACAACAGGGAGACAAACAACAATTTTAGATATTTGAACAGAAACAAAAACTGCAGCCAGGTGTTAAGATATACATGTACAATTCCCCTGCCTAATATACTAAATAAACCTTTAATCAACAGACAATAAAAACTTTCAGAAGTCATTAAAAAGGATAACTTGGATCATTGACCTGAATTCCCCTTTGATATTAAAGGACACATCAGGTGTTTACTGTAGGCTTCATTTGTTTTATTTCTGTTTGAAAAAGGCCCTGTTTGTGTCTGACTGACACACATGCACACACTCACCATCGTCTTCATCATATTGAAGGTGTGAGACACCCACTCCTCTGTCTCCATGGTCCATCCTGCCAGGTAAGACAAACAGTGACAAGTTAAGACATCAAAATGCAGAACAGTTTTAAATAAGTGAAATAAGCACATACATCCATTGGTCCAGAAACRAAATCCAGACTTTCCTTTACCCACTGCTACTGTCCAGCTCTTCCTGCAGGATCCCAGGCACACACAGGCCAGAGAGGATATATAATTCATCCAGTGAGTTTTTGGTTTGCCTGGGGTCTTCTCCAAAGGGAGGCGTGCTAATTAAATGTCCGAACCACCTCAGCAAAGTATTTATGATGCAGAGGAACAGCAGCTCTTCTCAAGGGCAGAATGGAAATTCTTCTTTGTCACTAATCGTGTTTGTGTGTGTGTGTGTGTGTGTGTGTGTGTGTGTGTGTGTGTGTGTGTGTGTGTGTG